GTTGAGTCAGTCTTTTGGTAACAGTCACCAGAGTGGAAGAAATACATTGTGGAAGATTAGGAGTCTCCACCCCCCTTCCCAAATTGTAAATAGTGAAAGTCCTAGTTTTTTAAACCTTTAAAGCTTTACTTAATGAAGAAAGTCTTACTCCATTATTATATACATTTTGTATTCAGTTGTATATCACTTTTCCAAAAAGTATTTAATAAGGAAAGTATATACACTATAGATATCTATCTGCCTACCTACCTGTTCACCTATTTGGATATAAATATAGATGCACAGATGAAGATCTATCTATGTCCATATATGTGTCTTCATCTATATTGGATTAACTCTTTCCTCCATACCTTTTTTCTTTCTCTAATCTATTTATCCCTTCATCCCTCCATCCTTCCATCCCTTCATCCGTCCATTAGTTCCTCCTTCTCTCCTTCTTTCCCTCTTTTCACAGAGCTAAACATGCTTTGCCAGCTACTTCCTGACACCTAGTAAGAGGGAGGCTTACTTAAATCTTAATCATATCATTGTGGGGTTCTGAGAAAGCTTTGAAGTTGTTTCCAGGGTTGCTTAAAAAATTTATGCAACAAAGAACTGTGATCATAGTAACTCAGCAGGAAGCATTGGTAACATGGAGTTTATCCCTAGGAGGGCTGTTAAGACTAGTCCTCACTTTCTTTTTTTAGGAAGTGCTTTGTTTGTGGTTTAGAAAGAAGTTGTTCTGATGGATTTCGTTTTGTAGAATTACTATGGAATTTGCTTTGATATTTAGTATTAGTTTAGATGATTTAAAAACTGCTGTATGCTGAAACTTGGACATGTATTAAAATATCAAAAATAGCATATTTCTTTCAAGCATACTTAGTGGTTGAGTTATTAAATTGCACGATAGTAGGTTTGAAGCTCCTAAACATATATGACCAAATGATTAAAGTGCATATAATGTGTGAATAAAAGAATCATGAATTTAGTGTATAAATTCTTGGTTATCTTCAAGTTTAAGTGGCAAGACCTTGAGGACTTCTAAAAAGCCAACTCTGTGTTATGTACTATATATGATTGTGTACTATTGCTTCAGAGTGGAAGTTTGTTTTGTTTATTTCTTTTCCTTAAAGAAGTATTTTTATAATCTTCTAAAACATTTTGACAGATGAAAATCTATTATCTTTAAGGATCTTTGTGATGATTAAATAGTATTTCTTTATATAATTACAATTTTTATGACCTTTCACTTTGTCTTTGTTTTAATCTCTAATTTCTCCTAATTTAGAGAATATTAAGTATTTCTATATTATACTTTATATGTATATATAGGATATACAAATTTTTAGAATTTAGGGGTTATGTTGTTCCTAGTATACTCTCCAGTGACCTCAGTTTTGAAATGTGTTACATGTCATTCAAAATTTTGAGGTTAGCTAAAGAATATATGCACTGAAGTTTTTTTTTGCATTGAAGTTTCAAAAGCATTGTCATAAATTTAGAAATGATAATGATGTGAGAAGATAATGCTTCGAATTTAAGCAGTATATAAGGATATTTTCAACTATTAAAATGTTATACAAAATTTAATGTTTCCTATAGGAATGCTTATAGTCTGACTAGTTTTTTTAAAGATAATACCTCTATATATGAACATGAATACTCAACTAAAGTTTTGTATGAAAATTTAAGGTGTTCATTCCTTTCCTCCGAGAGACAGAGAGAGAGAGAGAGCGGGCGAGCGAGCTAGTGAGAGAGCACGCACAGACTTATCCATGGTTTAAAGAAATAGTATTTATTTGGTCATATTCATCAACCTAGTGATTTTCAGTAGAGTGGGAGTATATGTACATCCAAATCTCCTGTGAAGTTTAACAAGTAGTTTATTGTCCTTCTTGATCCTAGTCCCCTCTTTTCTAAGTGGTACCTTTTCCTTTCCCATCACTGTTTCCTTCAGATTTAGGTGATCAGTTTCTCAGGTTCATGTGATACCTAACATAATTAGAGAAATGATTAAATAAATCTGTTTGATATTGTAAAACTACAAAGTTGACATTGGCAGCATAAGGGATGAAGACATTGTACCAAGGAAATTCTATCAAAAAGGATGTAACTCTATAATCCAAACTATCATGCTTTTCAGAGAGACTGACCTGTCATTCTTGCGGTATTAACTGCCAGGTTGGAACAAGGTTGGGAAGGGGGTGATTTAGAGAAGGATAAATTGAAACTTGAGATCAGAATAGGCCATGAGGTAATAAAAATACATCCTCTGCTTTTTTACAATGGTAAGAGCATGTCAAGTCTTTATTCATCCTCAAAGCACAGAAACCTATGAAGAAAGCATTTTAAATAAGTCAGTGAGTTTCAGACATAAGAAGTAAGTTGATACTATAAAAATTTTCTACTGGAGAAGCAATTCATGGGATAGAATCTGAAACTGAAGGCAGATGAATTGACTCCTAATTCCATTGTGTGTTTGCTATTAATTCATTTTTAAGGAAACCACTTAACTTCTTTGATTCTTTGATTCAATAGAGTAAGGATAATCATTTCTGCTTGCTAATGAATTAGTATCATTAGTTGGTCTTGCCTCTTTTTAGTCTGTGCAGGTATGTGTCTAAAATATTTGTCTGTATGTTTTATAAGACTTGACTTCCTAGAAATACTTTGATGGTTATATGTTTAGTAATTCTACAATTAGCATTGCCAGCTACTATTGCTGGTTTGTGGAAATAGAAAGGTACGCACTACAATCTTTGTCCTGTGGTTAAAGATAAAGTTTTATATACAGGTTGATGGAATTTAGTGATGAAACTGTAGCTGCATTACTATTCAGTATTATAGAATAAAGTTAGGCAGCAGAATACAACAGACACTAGTATGGCAATATGTAAATCAATGGATGTGTAACTGATGTGATTCTGCAATCTGTATATGGGGTAAAAATGGGAGTTCATAACCCACTTGAATCAAAGTGTGAAATATGATATATCAAGAACTATGTAATGTTTTGAACAACCAACAATAAAAAATAAAAAAAAAGTTAGTAGAACAGTTGCTTTTAAAAATAGCATCATATACATTCTTAGTATTTCTTCATAATGAAATATATTATCAGTTAATGACACTGAAAGAACAGAAACATTTTTATTTGGGAATTTATAACTAAAGAATATTTATTTCTTCATTCATAATCGGCTTTTGATAAAAATAGGTATCTCTTGTGAAGTATTTTATTTTTTTCTGTGTATGTGTTTAACTTATGGATATTAATTTTTCTTTATAATTTATTAAAAATAAGTAATATTGGAATATTTTTGCTTTATAATTTGGTAAGAACTGGCAAAGTTGAACAGAATTAGCAAGAAAATTTTAATCCACATATAGAAAACAAGACACAAAAGTGACCTGAGAAATCATCTTACCACTGATAAAATTTTAAGTCCTTATTTGGAGTGGCAATAGGATTCTGGTGTTTTTCTAAGGTACACTAAGACCAATGGAGGAGGGAGATTCCCTAGCATGTTTGGCACAGTGATACCTGTACATTCTTACTTTTCAACTGAAGTAAGTTTAATATTATATTTTATATTTTGATGATTACATGTAAATTATTTTTAAAATCATGTTTAAGAAATGTCAGTGAAGTCCTGTTCCTTTATTTTAACTCAAGATGACAGAGTGCCAGAGAAATAAATTTAACTAGAGCCCCTGATTTCCTAACCTCACTTTATCACTGTCCAGTTAAATCACATTGCCTCCATGTGTCTTTGGGAATATTAAAAATCTAGTAAGCCATTTTACATAATGAACAATCAATATTATATATGTATTTGATAACAAGAAGATTTCATTGACAATATCAATATGCAGACCTGGAATATTTAAATGAGAACAATTTGATATTGGTATTGGTTTCATATATAAAGTTTTTTAATACCAGGTATTGAATCCAGGGGCATGTAACCACTGAGCCATATCCCCATCCCTTTTTTTGTATTTTGTTAAGAGACAGGGTCTCTCTAAACAGCTGGGGGGCCTTGCTAAGTTGCTGAGGCTGGCTTTGAACTTGAGATCCTCCTGCCTCAGCCTCCCTAGCCACTGGAATTAGAGGCATACGCCACCGCTCCTAGCTTAAAGTATTTTATTCTTTGAGTACTGAAAGTGTTCAACATTCAAACCCAAATGAGTTTTTGAAATTTTTGGAGTTTATTATTTGAACTCTTAAAGTATGTTAAAGACGTTCTAGTGAATAAGATGTATTTCATTCATTCCTTATACACTGTATAAATTAAATAAACTGTTTAAAAGCAGAAAATAGAGCTTGAATTTCTGTCTGAATTTTCATTAAATAAGCTTTATGAATATACAGCTTTTATGTAAAGGGAGTGTTTATAGCTTTCATTTATTCTTAGGAAGCTTTAGCTTGATAAACCTTCCTAAATTCCTGATTTTTCACTTCACAATGAAATTAAAACCAAGGTGATTTCATGTAATGTATAATGACATTGAATGTTATAAATAATCATGTATAAAACAAATAGAATTCTGAAGTTTTGGAGGATAAATTTTCATTTATTCAGAATTTTTATGGGTTTGACTTTTTGGCAGAATGAATTTGTTTAGAATTCTGTAGCATAAGCTGGGTGCGGTGGCCTGGCCTACACCTGCAGTCCCATTGTTTGGCAGGTCAAAAAAGGGGGAATGCTTGAACCCAGGAGTTGGAGATCAGGCTGTACAATCTGGACAATGTATTGAAATCCTGTATGGAAAAAAAAAAGAAATTCTTTTAACAAACATATTCTAACCTTTAAGTAGAATGATTTAGAACTATTTAGATCCAACTATTAAGACAGTAAAAACTTAGTTTGGCACCATGCACCCATTTTTCTAAGATACCAGTATGTTTTTCAACTCCTGAAAATTATTTTGATAGATTTATTAAAAAAAATGATAAAATGACCATTGAATCAAATTGAAGTTTAATCTTACTCTCTTTTTAAAATTATTTTCAGGAGAGGGCTGCTCACAATTTATATGGCCAACTTGGTAAGTAATACTCTCTTTTTTTTAACTGACTTTTCCATATGCTTTTTAATTTTTTAAAAATTACATTTTCTTAAAAAAGGAAAACTAATTCAATTTGAGAATATTTTTCCATCTCTATTTTAAAGGACAAACTTAAATGTTTAAAAGAACCTTGGTACTATCTGCTTTGTTTTTATCCTATATGACTGACTTTCTCTTATTTTAGTAGGAAAGTGATTCATTGTCCTGTGCCCTTCATGACTTTTTTTCTCTAAGCTTACATTTTCACATTACTGTATATCTAGTTCTCTCCCTGTATGTTGAATTTCATATTCCGCCTCTGCTGCCATTTCTTATAGGAAAAATGTTTTAAGGATGAATTTTTGATATACCTATTTAAACATTAAAACACCATGGTACTATCTCCAAAGACTGAGTGAGTACGTTTAATAATATAATTGGTTAGGCTTCTAAATTTCTAAGTTGACAGAAATGAAGTTAATATGATCTAGTCTGATATTCTTTATTTAATATTATCTAGTCTGATATTCTGATATACATACATATATATATAATATATGTATGTATATGTATGTGTATATATATATATATATATATAATTGTTCAATTCTACCATTAAGTTCATATTTTAAGAACATATTCACATTAATATCTTTTAAAGTTGCTTAATAGAATTGATAGGCAACATTAAAAAATTCAATTAAGCAGGGATAATTTATTTACCTAAGGATAGATAGTTTTTAAAATTCTATAATAAGGGAGTATATTTCAGAGATATATTTAGCAATTCATTTCAGTGGTAAATAATTTTTGTTCAGTACCCATGTGTTAGTAGTTACTATGCTAGATGCTGGCCCATGAGATAGTCATTTCATTGATGGAGAAGTTATAGTAGAAATAATAATGGATAAAAAGGACTAAAAGATGACTGGTACTGTAGCACCTCAGAGGAGCTGGGTCAGAGAAAAGTGGTTCTAATCTTTTTGAGTCATAGATCTCTTTAAGACTTTGATGACAGGATGGACATTCTTCAGAGAGAACTGCTCATGTACAGACAAACACTTAAATTTCTATACAGTTTCAGAGGTTTCATGTACCATAGATTAGGAAAGTAAAGAGTACATTATAAGTAAGTTATTTTAAAATATATACTGTAGAAAACTAAGTATTCTAAGCTCTTAATTGAAGTGAGATGGGCATTTCTAGACACCAGGAGAGCAAAGTGTTTCTTTTTTTGTCTTATTCTTCATGAAAGAAATCTAACAAGAATGTAAATTATATGAAGTCAGGAACTTTTTCTGTTTTATCTCCCATTATACTACAAGTACCTAATCATAGTCTGGCTTGTTGTAGAGATTTGATTAATATTTTGTTGATTTAATAATAATCTTTCTGGCTTTACAATTCTAGTAATTTAAATATAATAATGCTTTATTTTTGTTCTCCATAGATGCTTTTTGAAATCTGTTCTCTGTCTGGTTTTACTTTATAGGTATTTTGTCTTTTCTCTCAATTGTTTTTGTGATTTCTTTTTGAAGAATTTATCTTCGCAAGTTGTATTCATTAGGATGTAGAATTTTCATTTAGTTTGATCAGGACCTAGTTTGCTTCTTCAATCTGAGGACTAATAGATCTGGAATTAAATTCATATCCATTCTCTCTTTGATCTTGCCTCTTCCTGAGCTCTATATTGAGTTATTTTAACAGGAATTCCTTGTAGATGTATGTCAAACTGCATTTTCCTTTTCATGATTTTATTATTGCTGTTAACGTTTTCCCACTTTCTCATCTCTGCTTAATTCTGGCTGTCTCTTCAGGCCTGTCTTCAAGTTAACTAAGTTGTGTGTACATGTTAGGAATTGAACCAAGGGCCTTGTTTATCCTATCTGTTAAACATTTAATTTGAATTATGTAGCTTTAATTTTATAAAGGTGATACATATCAGACATAACAAGTCCAGAAATATTTTATAAAATAATCGTCTATCTCTATAATACTTTTTTCCATTATTTATTGGTTGTAACCTGCTTGTTTCTTTATAAGATGATTTTATGATATCATTTTCTGTAGAGAGGAAAAAATATAATCCAGTCTTTCCTCTTGCATTATTTATGAAATATGTTTTCTAAATTATTCATATTTGAAATAGATAAACCATGTGACTTAATACACAGACTTCAATTCTGTTTTAGGTAGTAGTTCTAAAACATGGGAATTCTAAAAAATTGCCTGTAGTTCAATTTCAATTAGTAAAAACCCCATAAAGTATTGGTATATTAATAATAATATTAATAATAATAATATTTATTTCATTTTCTTAATAGGAAGAAGCTTCCATTTTAAGTAGGCCTTGATAAGATGTTACTACTTTACATGTTTGATGATTGAAAAAGCTTTTGGCAATCTATTTTCTGGTTCTGGGCATTTCAAATCCATTTCTTTGTCATTATCTACATATTTCCAGGGGTTGGCATGTCTGTATGTTAGTGTATCCTCTGATCTTTCACTTTAATGTCATGACAGGGTAAATTGGCACAGTGAATGGTGGATTATTGCTAGAAATCACTCTTCATGTACTACCAGAAATCAATTTTCTAAACCTAGAAGCAGGTGGAAAGCAAATTAATAAATATATATTGATAAACTAAATTATTCACTTGAAATACTAATAAACTGGATTCCAAAATGCCTGTGACTATTCACTTCAAGAAGAAATCTGATAGAGAAATCAGAAAGTAATGTGATAGTGTTGTTAATCATTTGTGGTTAAAATATCTTGGTTTTGCAAATGTTGTCAGTATGTGGATATTTGAACAGATTATTTAGTGCTTTTCTCAAGACTTGGAAGGAGCCTGTAAAAATTAGGAGTCTATGACTCTGGCCTTCTCTCTTACTTTCTGCTTCCTCATTTTCTACTTTAACACCACTGCCCACTCTGGTATTCAGAGAGCATGACAAGCATGCTTCTTGAAGAACTTGGTTTTTGTTCTCAATATTTGAACTCTTAGCCTCAGATAGCATGTCTTGCTTTATCATTTCAATGAGACTCTGCTGAAATGCCACTGTTTTGTAGTTTTCCTTTTCTATCCCACATAAAATAATAGTCATCTTCCATGTCACACATACTCTTTACCCATAACACATGATTAATATTTTTCCCCTAAAGTATTTTTAACATTTGACTTTTTTTGTTGTTATTGTTATTATTTTATTGTCCGTCTTCTTTTTTTATTTTTAATTTTTAGTTGTAGATGGACACAACACCTTTATTTTGTTTATTTAGTTTGTTTATATGGTGCTGGGATTGAATCCTGTGCCTCATGCATGCTAGTCAAGCACTCTACCATTGAGCCATAGCCCCAGCCCTTATTGTCTGTCTTCTAACCTTGAATTTTTATAGATTTTTTTTTTTTTATGATACTAGAGGTTGAACCCAGGGAAGCTGTATCACTGAGTTCTTTCCCCAGTACTTCAGCCCTTTTTATTTATTTATTTATTTATTTTTTAGTTATAGTTGGACATAGTACCTTTATTTTTATTTATTATTTTTATGTGGTGCTGAGGATCCAACCCAGGGCCTCGCATGTGCTAGGCGAGTGCTCTATACCTGAACCACAACCCCAACCCCAGCCCTTTTTATTTTATTTTATTATTTTGAGACAAGGCTTCACTAAGTTATGAAGGCTGGCCTTGAACTTGTGATCCTCCTACCTCAGTCTCCCAAGAAGCTGGGTTTATAGGAGGCACCCCAACACCTGGCTTTTCTTTCTTATACTTAAAAAAAAGCTTTAAAATGCAATATGCCTTTATATGCCTGGGTATTAGGATGAATTTGAGGTTTTTTTTTTAGCCACTCACATGCTTTCTGTAATAGCACATATTGTATCCTTTAATACCCCAAATAATGTGTATATTTATGCACTGTAATTTTAAAATAAACTTCTAAAACTTATGTATATTGTCTGGTATAATTTACAAATTCCAGGAGAAGAGGTCTTTGACTTTGATCATTTGTGTTGGATAGAGGGCTTTTATAGTACTTATTTTTTTTTTAATTGGTTGTTCAAAACATTACAAAGCTCATGATATATCATCTTTCATACATTTGACTCAATTGAGTTATGAACTCCCATTTTTACCCCAAATGCAAATTGCAGAATCACATCGGTTACACACTCACATTTTTACATAATGGCATATTAGTGACTATTGTATTCTGCTACTTTTCCTATCCCCTACTCTCCCCCCTCCCCTCCCCTCCCATCTTCGCTCTTTACCTCATCTGCTGTTGTTCAATTCTCTCCCTTGTTTCCCCCGCCCTTTCCCCTCACAACCTCTTATATGTAATTTTGTGTAACATTGAGGGTCTCCTACCATTTCCATATGCTTTCCCTTCTCTCTCCCTTTCTCTCCCCCCACTCGTCTTTGTTTAATGTTAATCTTTTCCTCATGCTCTTCCTCCCTGTTCTGTTCATAGTTGCTCTCTTTATATCAAAGAAGACATTTGGCATTTGTTTTTTAAGGATTGGCTAGCTTCGCTTAGCATAATCTGCTCTAATGCCATCCATTTCCCTGCAAATTCTATGATTTTGTCATTTTTTAGTGCTGTGTAATACTCCATTGTGTATAGATGCCACATTTTTTTTATCCATTCATCTATTGAAGGGCATCTAGGTTGGTTCCACAGTCTAGCTATTGTGAATTGTGCCGCTATGATCATTGATGTGGCAGTATCCCTGTAGTACGCTCTTTTAAGATCCTCAGGGAATAGTCCGAGAAGGGCAATAGCTGGGTCAAATGGTGGATCCATTCCCAGCTTTCCCAGGAATCTCCATACTGCTTTCCAAATTGGCCTCACCAATTTGCAGTCCCACCAGCAATGAACAAGTGTACCTTTTTTCCCACATCCTCTCCAGCACTTGTTGTTATTTGACTTCATAATGGCTGCCAATCTTACTGGAGTGAGATGGTATCTTAGGGTGGTTTTGATTTGCATTTCT